TTTTGCAACTTCTGCAACATCACCAATGTGGCATAAGTTTCTTCCGTAACACTAGCTATGTCGCAAAAACACGATGACAAAAAAAATTCTGCAAGAAAACATCTGTTGCCAAAAAAAAGTGCAACAAAAAGTCAATTGCAACAAAAAATGCAAAAAGATGAAGACGAAAAAAGTATTCTGCGACAAAGGATGTGTTGCGAAATTTTTTTTGGCAACAAAACCTCAGTTGCAAAAAAATTATGCAACAAGACCTATGTTGCAATGATGGAGGGCGCCGATGCGCCAAATCTGATGGCCTGCGAGCCGATCGATGTTTTAAAAAGATCATCCGGCGGACACGTAGCAGTCCCCCCGAAAAAACTCAGTTACAAAAGTTTCTAGAAGGTTCCCAAAACTGCTAAAACTGGACTGTTGAAATGGGTCGGCTTGATATTATAGATCACTTGTTCGTATGTGTGCTTTGGGTGAGAGGGCACCCATTGAACCCAAGGGAATATGCACCCACTTTTCAAAAAATGCATTTTAAGCGTGTTTTCAAATGTCAAAAAATCAAAAGAAAATATTACGCATACATGTTCGCAAATGTGTGTACGCGGCACAAAGGTTTGTGAAAAAAATGTCCTTTTATTTTGTCTCTGCAAAAAAGACAATTTTCAGTGCTTCTAAATAGTGTTCCACGACATAATTTTTTGTGTTTTTTGCACAGGCCACAAAAAAGATATGTTTTCGTGATACTTTATGCACGCACATAGAACATGGAGGCGTACCAGTGCAACTTTTTTCAGGGTTTTTTACCATTTAGAAATATGTTTTCAAAATGGGTTCATATATACCCGGGTTCATCAATACACTTGCTTTGGATCGTATTTGATGCAACGCGCATCAAATAGGAAACATGCGTTCGGGAGCTATATTGAAATCTCCTGATGGATACACATTGCGTCAAACACCAGGCTTATATCTCGCATATAGCAGGATGTATGCCCGGTTTGTTGAAGGTTTTTCCCTTCTGCCTACAGAATAGGGCCAGTCCGATCATTCGCTCGCAGCTTTCGTCTGCCCGCCCTAAAAAAATGTTCGCCCACTAGTTCGCTTCAGATTTTCCTTTTCCTTTTTCATTTTCTATTGGTTTTCGCAATTTCTTCACCGGTTCTCTGCAATTTTTTTTCCTTTGTTTCCCCCCCTGTTTTATTGTTTCCTCTGGTTTTCTCCATTTAGTTTTGATTTTTCACTAGTTTTTCTAAATTGTTTTTTCCTTTTATTTATTAATATATTTATTGTTTTTTTCTTCATAAGTCTTCCTTTGTTATTATTAATTTTTTCTTTGTTACAAATTTGGGTTTCATTTGTTTTTAAACGGGTTTCTTTCGTTTTTCATTATACTTTGGTTTTCTTTTTTTCTTTTGTATTCTTTAGTTCTTCTTTTTGTTTTTTTAGATTATCATCGGTTTCCTTTTTGGTTCAACATATGTAAAATTATTTTAGAAATAACTAGACATTTTGTGTATACATCAAAAACAATATTTTATACTGCTTAAACTTTTTTGAAACCATGATCTATTTTAAGATACCTAATGTTTTTCATACACATTGTATATTTCATGTATATATCTAATATATTTTCCTTCTATACGTTTAACATTTTTTAATACAAGAATAACATATTTGGAAGACATGGTCACAAAACTTTCCAAATAAACTGATAAAATATATTTTTTCTTCTATACGTTTAACTTTTGTAAATGATTGATACATTTTTTTCAAATAAAGGATTAAACTTTCTTTAATACATGGTCAACATATTTTTATAGAAAGTAACATGTTCAAATGCTTGACTAATTTTTTCCAAATACAAGATTAAATTTTTATAATACATGGTCAACATTATTTTTTATACATATTTTAAAAAATCAAATGCTTGATTAACATTTTCAAATACAAGATTAATATTTCCTGAATACATGGTCAACATTTTTCGAATACATGCTCAACTTTTTTCTATACACATTTAAATTTTTTCAAATGCTTGATTAACATACTTCAGATACAAAATTTAACATTTTTCAAATGCTTGATTAAAAAATTAAATACATGATCAACGTTTTTCATCCACACTTTTATTCTTCTATATACATTTTTTTATACATGAGAAGCATTTTTCAATATACTCATCTATTTTTTCAAATGTTTGGTTAACAATTTTTCAACTGTTTTCCAGTAATTTTTTAGTAATATAATTATTTAAAATAATTGGGGGTACTAGCAGAAGTAAAAAAAATAAAGAAAAAAATTAAAATTCTGAAGAAAAAACAAGTCTGGGGCCTCCCGCGCGAGAGGGCCGTCCCATCTCGCGCCTCACTGGGGGCGAGGCTTACCTGTGCCTCGCTACAAGCGAGGTATAACTCCGTGCGGCGTCAAACAAGGGCCCTGCCGCAGAGTGGTGTCCGGGGTGGGCCGACTCATTTGCAGCAATTGCTGGCCCACATTGTTACAACAGTAAAACGGATTTTTTGAAACACGGATATTTTTAGAAAACACAAACGTCTTTAAGCACGAACATATTCAAAATCATGAACTGCTTTTAAGAAAGGAACAATTTGAAATTATGAACGTTTTCAATAAATCGTTGTGTATTAGGAAAGAATTTCACTATATATCAAAAAAGGTAATTGTACATAAGAAATGTACATCATATAATAAAAATGGTCATTGTGTATTTAAAAAATGTTAACTGTGTATTTGAAAGAAATGTTCACGTCGTCCCATATTCGTTCACCTGATTATAATACAAAACTATTAAAAATATTAAGTGAGAAATAAATTGTCAAAAGAAAAATTAGAAAAACCCAAGATGAAAAAGGTGACAAAGAAAGAAAACTAAAAAATGAAAAGAAAGGGAAAGACGAACCCGAAACAAATATATATATATAACCTGAGAAAAAAAGGACCTTTGCACAAGCGAAAACCTTAAACTGGGTTGGTCTATGACGCGCCACCGCGGGTGTCGGCCCATCCATTTTCCACTAGTGGGCAGTAATTAGCTCCACCAGATATGTCTTAGTTACTGGGAGACCTGATCTGGGGTTTCTCGCGCCGCCGCCGTCACCGGCACCTGAGAAATTTAGGTCCCCTCGCCTCCGACTGTCATCTTGACGCTGAGAGGGTGGGGGAGGGGGGGGGGGCTTGGATCTTCAAGACATGTATGTTTCTTCGCCATCGTCTAGTGATCATCATAGTTTTGTGAGAATAAATTCCCTCTCGTTCTTTTGGCGGTGCCATTAGTTTATAGAGTTTTCTGTCATCTCAGATCCGATTATTCAGATTTGATGACTTTATGTTGCTGTGTCAAGCCTTGTCGGTCTGATTCTTTGTGGAGGTGAAATCTTTCATCGACAACATGGTAAAGATATAGTGACTTGACGGTCTGCACTTCTAGCGGATCATCGCCGGCCCAAGTACGTTCATTGATCAAGGCTTCCCATCTTTTTGATGGGTGACTCGAGGCGCTTTTAAAAACCACTATTGGTAATGTTCGTGCAGGGGAAAGAGTGACAATATTGTTGCTCCAGTCCAATTGCAGCCTCTTTACCGAATATTTGGAGTATTTTTTTCGAGCAGAGAATAACGCCGTGAAGAAATTGTCTTCAAGAGATTTCATTGTAGTTCTTAGTCATAGGAGTTACTTTGTATTTTCTTGGATCTTGGGTCCAAATCAATGTACATTTAATTGTCATGAGTATGAATAAAGCTACACCTGTTGTTTTAAGTTACTGGGAGACCTAAGCTCGCCTCAATCTGGTGCTTTTGTGCCTTTGCATTACATTCCTTCTGGTAGTTTCTATGAGATATTTTCAAAAGTTTATCTGGTCCTGTTCAACTCAGTTTTAGAATATTTCATGCGGCCTTTTTCTTATCAGTTTTCATCTTTTTTGTCCCTTTTGATTTTTTTAATGTTTTATGTTTTTCTTCATTTTGTCAAATACCTGCAGGCTTTTTTTCATAAGCGGTTAAAACATTTTTAAGTGCACATTGGATATTATTTGAATAAATGGTGGGAATATTTTTAACATGCATTTAATATCTTTCATAAACTTCATGAATAATTTTAAAAATGTTCAATCACTGAAGTGTCAAAACATTTTATTAAATGTAAAAAAAAAATTTTTACTGGTAGGAACATTTCTGTTGAATTATTTGAGCAACTGTTACATTGTATAATATATTTTTAATAATGTTATTAACATATATTTAAGATGTATGAACATTTTTTAATGTGATGAATAATGTTTTTGAATGACATGAACAGTTTTTGCAACCTATTATAACAAAAATTTCACATTTTTTATTGTTTTAAATGTCATGAATAAACTTTAGAACCACTTTTCCATATTTTAAATGTGAGGAACATATCTGTAATAATACAAAAATTTCTAAAAATTCCGTGAACAAACATTTTTTTTGCACTGCTTTAACTTTTTATAATATGCAACGAGCGCTTTTAAAATTTGAAGTAAATTAGTTTTTAAAATATATGTATTTAGAATATTTCGGAATATAAACAAATTTAAAATTTTAAAAGTAGAGTAGTGAAAAAGAACATATGAATGAAAGAAAAAAAAATCGAATGGAAAGATCACTAATGGGCCGGCTTACTACTGAGGCTGCTTGAAGGTGAGCTGTACGTCAGTCTGGGCGCGTCAGTGTAAGCGAGCTCAAAGCAGCTCGGTCCAAAATGGTGGCAGCCCGTCGTCGACTGCAGCGACGCGAGCGGTTAGCGGTGCCCACCGTACTTCATTGACCGAATTCAAGCTCGCCATACGGAAATCAAATGGCGTCCCGAGTGCGACCTCCAACCACCAGATCAATTGCACCTGCAGCGCACCAGCGGCCTGCGACGGCTACCCGCCATAAATCCCCCAGCGCCCAACCGCCCCGCCGTTCCTGCTATTGCCACTTCGCCAGTGGCCCGGCGTCATGCCACGCCACACACGCCACCACCCATGGCGGACGACACGCCCACGAAACCCAGCAAGAAAGGTTCCTCCGAGCCCGCCGTCCACTACGACGGCGCCAAGGCCAAGGCAAAGTCCAAGGCCGTCGTCCACGCCGACGCCGAGGACGGGCATGCCGGCGATGCGGCGACGGCGAGTCTTGCTCCTGCCAACCGGACCCGGCTGCTGCGGTGCGCGTGCTGCGGCCTGGCCGCGCTCGCCGCGTTGGCCGCCGTGGTGATCCTCGTCCTGTCGCTCACCGTGCTGAGGGTCCGGGACCCGGACCTGACCATGGACTCCGTCACGGTGGAGCGCTTCCACGTGGGGTTCGCCGCCGTGCCCGACGGCCGCCCGCCACTGCGGATCAACGCGACGCTGGCCGCGTGGATCATGATCCGGAACCCCAACTACGCGTCCATGTGGTTCGGCGCCAGCACGACGGAGATTTTCCTCGACGGCGTGCCGGGCCGCGTCGGCCTAGGTAGCGCGCCGCCCGGGGAGGCGTCGGCGCGGGGCGCCAGCCAGGTCCGCGGCGGCATGGACGTGTTCGTCGACAGGGTCGCGCCGGCCGTGGTGGGGGAGGTGCTGTTCGGCCGCGGCGAGGTGCGGCTCACGAGCCGCACGGCCATGGACGGCAGGGTCAGCGTGCTCGGCGGGATCTACGGGCGGCGCACGGTGCGCGTTGCCATGCGGTGCCACGTCGTGCTGCATGTGTCCGCCGTGGTCGTCGTCGCCGGCTTTCCTTCATGCGTCGCGGAGTTCGGTCGCTGATGCATCTGTTTCTGTTCTGTCGTCAATCTCTCTACCGTGCAAGACGAATCTCACACCATCTTTTTTCTTCTAATTTGTATGTTGAATGTTTATTCTAACTTCGGCGGAGTAATTTATGATCAAAGTCGTATTATTTACCATCAACCCCTTTTGTACACACAACTGGATGTTTTCATGACCTGGTTGATTTAGTTGCCGGAGAATTGGCAAGTCCAATCAAAGGATGGTAGGTCCGACTAGATAAGTATAACATTTCATTTTTCTTTTAACTTCATGACACCATTATTACAATACAGTACAGAAGAACATTTATTTATATTTGTATTTCAAGTTTGTTAAGTCACTTGATAATTAGCTAATTCTCCGTCAATTGAGATAGTATAACAATGGAAAACGCTAACACTCTGCCGGCTGATCAGGCAGAGAGTTCCGCCACCCACGCAGCTGTTGGATCGTCCTTTATCCACGCGTCCACAAGCACGCTTGCACACGCTCTTGATTTCGCCTACCAACCACGTGCCCCTTACCTTATCTTGCAACAACAAACCACAATAGTGAACCCCTTACCTTATGTTGCAACATCAAACCACAATAGCGAACGACGGCCGCAGCTTAGACAAGATTTTGCAATGTCACCTCTCTTAAAAAAAAATCTGCAACAAGATCTCGCATGCGAAAAAAATCTACAATAAGAATTTTATTGCAAAAAATAAATCCCACAACATAACCTATGTTGCAAAAGAAATCTGCAACAAAACCTCTGTTGAAAATGTTTATGCAAGAAGGTGTTTGTTGCAAAGTAGTGGAAAATGCTCAGCGCTAGTCAAATCCAATGACTTGAAGGGGCGGATCTTTTAAAAATATCCGCCAGCCGACGCGTAGCAGTCCCCCTATAACAATTGATAATTAGCTAATTCTCAGTCAATTGAGACTGTAGAACAACTGATAATTCACTTCATGACAACATTATTACAATAGATGAACATTTATTTAGATTTGTACTTAAAATTTGTCAACTCAATTGATAATTAGCTAATTCTTTGTCAGTTGAGATAGTATAACAATTGATAATTAGCTAACTCTCCGTCGAACTGAGATAGCATTACAATTTTAGTAAACTAGCACATTTACTATGACACAATGAATAAGCATTGGAGGACATGATAGGACATCTAGCAATATAAACCCCATGCCTTTAGTGCAGTTGACATCACTTTGTCACTTGATTTTGTTAGATTGTACTGCTATTTACCAAATACAGAAAAATACACAATACATGACATGAAAATAGTGCATATACAATGCTCTATATGAATGCCACTACAATTTATTTATTTTGTTCACAACTATTGATTTTGAGAATTATTTTTCTTTTCAAATTTGCATAATGGGATCCCTAAATTTGGCATAAAAATAAAGATCTTTACCATGCATAAAAAAATACATAAAATTAAAGTGATAAACATTATCATCTAACATTTCAAATGTCCGCTTTCTGTCGAGGAGACTAAATTTATTCAAAATATATTGACATGCCATTCTTGTCTTCGTCCCTAACTAAAATATTTGTTGTGCTCTTCTTACTAACAACATCTGCAATAATCTTTGTTGACCATGTTGCTAATGATACCCCTAATAAATGATTGATTTCACTACAACAAAACAAAGTAAACCTCTATGTGAAGATATTTATTAGTTATGTACACTCCAGATCTCTCTACTAAGTTATTTAACAATTATAAAAAATAAGTGAGCACTCTAAATACTTCATAGTCCATAGTCGCGTAGTTGGAACAATTCAATCCACTAAGTAAAAAATAATTGCATATTTTTTGTTTTCCTAGATCTAAACTTGAAATAACTCAAATTGAATTTAAGATAAAAGAGTGAAAAATTTAGATACAAAATTTATTTTAGTACAAGTGTATTTGCAATGGAACATGTTAGAAATGTAACATGGAACATATAAAATCAATATATTTAATAAATATTTGTATGCAATGATTTTTTAATCATAATAAATGTGCATGTAAGATTTAAGATCTGATATAAGTAAAAGAAATTGGTATAAATAATTAATTTTCAACTTAACTATGTGTCTGTCGGCCGGCTGCCGCTGCAGATCATGACTTGGAGCCCAAATTAAGCGTCCATGTGGTTCGGTGCCAGCATGATGGAGATCTTCCTAAACGGCGTGCCGAGCCACGTGGGCCTTGGGAGTGCGCCACCTAGCAAGACATCGGTGCAGGGTTGTTGCGTTTTAGCATGGACGTGTTCCTCGATAGGGTCATCCCCGTCATGGTTGAGGAGGTTGTTCGGCCGTGACGAGGTGCGGATGGCGAGCCACATGGCCATGGACGACAGGGTCGGCGTGTTTGGCGGGCTGTACGGTCGGCGCACCGTGCGCGTGGCCATGCAGAGTGCGGGTTTTGAGGCTAGCAACAGCGCGGGAAGTGGCGCTACTAATAAGGCGCTACATCTACCTCTTAGTAGTAGCGCGGTCTGTACACGCGCTACTACTATTGACTATATCAGCAACGCTTTTTTGGAACGCGTTACTATTAGTTAGCTGTAGCGGTTTCCTAGCTCCTCGCTACTGCTATATCTTTCATCATTTTCCCCAGCTTCCTACCCCGTTTCTGTCGGTCCAGATACTAGGTACTACTAGATATCAATTTATACTAGATATCAATTTCATAAAGCATTATAGGTACTAGGTAGTACTCCCTCCGTTCCAAATTACTCGTCGTGGTTCAAACCACGATGATTAATTTGGAACGAAGGGAGTACTAGATAACAATTTCATATATAGTCAACATGCATCCTCAAGCAATACTTGGTGATATCGACCATGATCATCATATGTAGTTCTAGATGATATCGATGACGATCATCATATGTAGTTCTACATGATATCGACAACGATCATCATATGTAGTTCTAGATGATATAGTCACACACACACACACACACATATGTAGTTCTAGATGATATCGAAGACGATCATCATCCTCAAGCCTGGGCGGTTGGTGTTCCTGGTAGTAATTAAGATGGCCCGTCCAACACGAAGATTCTTGCCATCGAGGAATCTCTTCCACCCAACCGAGTTTAAGTGTGTGCGTCCATCCGTGTCCACGCGATAATTACAGATTGTGACGGAGCCCCTTGCGGTAAGGCGTAGTCCAGCTGCGCCTTCTTTATCAGGCTCGATACCATAACTCACAAATAGGCTCTTTGCCAATTTCTGAAAAAGAAAAAACATATCAATTAATAAATAGCCTCGCACATACTCTTGCAAATAAGTATATATGGATTATCTACACTATTAATAGTTCCTTAGATTCTACACTAATAAGCATGTGATCGAACTCTACACTAAAGCATATCATCGACTAGATTCCACACAACATATCATTGGACTCTACACTAAGCTTATCATCGGATAATTTGCATTTGTAAGTATAACATACTATATCATGTCGATCGACATGGTACTTGTCCGGCGGGTCACGAATGGCACCCCGACAAAGTCAGCACGTGGCGGAATTATGTCCCATAGGTTGCACACCTCCTCCTCGCTCAGCCTCATTCTTTGAGCTACGATGGCTTCATGAAGTGGGTCCTCATCATCTTCATCGAGTGGGTCCTCATTATCTTCATCATCTTCGTCATCTTCATCATCTTTGTCATCTTCATCATCTTCCACCAGGTTGATATAAATGACATCCAGCTTGGGTCTTTCTGCTCTGAAGGAGAAGCTGATCAACTCACCACCAGTAAGACACATGCGGGCGACGAGACGGACCCATCCATCTCCTCCAATCTGCGAAATATTCCGTCCTTTCTCGACCTCCATAGTTTACGGCCCCCAGGAGCCTCAAATGTCACAGTGTCTCCTGCCAGCTTGTTGAATTTCAACCTCACATTGCATGGGACGATCTGTGTAAAAAAACAAAATGACACAATGTAGTAATGCCAACACTAAAAATAAAATAGTTGTTACATTTCATATAATTTCTTACCGCTGCATGACGAAAACTCGGCTGGAAGTAGATGCCGAACAGCTTGCCAATTGCAAGGCTGCTTGCGCACCTTGACTTGCACAATCGAGATGGTGGTCCTAAAGCAATATGAGCAAAGGATTAACGATCCACTTCATACGAAAGAAAAACAGTAGCATGTGATTTTTTTTGGTTCCTCTTCACTTATATTTTCACAGCTAGGTGGTGCCAAATCTTCAGAGCTATCAACTAGCATACTAAATCAACTATATCAAAATGTTCTATAAATCAACTAAATCAACTAGCCTATTAAATCAACTTGCCTACTAAATCAAATAAATCAAAATGTTCTATAAATCAACTAAATCAACTAGCCTACTAGATCAACTTGCCTACCAAATCAACAAAATCAAAATGTTCTAAATCAACTAGCGTACTAAATCAACTAAATCATATGAACTAAATCAAAATGTTGCATATGACCTAGCCTACTAAATCAAAATCTAGTAGGGAGGAGGGGTTGTGGATGGAGGAGGGAGGAGGGAGAAGGAGGGGCGACTGGAGGAGGGAGGAGAGAGTAGGACGGAGGAGGAAGGGCGGAGCGAGGAGGGGCCAGCCGGCGGCGAGTCGAGGAAGGACGGAGGAGGAGGGTGGTACCGAGTCCTGTGAGGAGGAGGAGGTGACGGCGGCGCAGAGGGAGGAGGGGTAGGCGACGGCAGCCGACGGGGGAGGACTGGCGCGGGGGGTTGAGGGGGAGATCGAGTAAGTGTGGACGGAAAGGCGCTACTACTAAACTACCTAGCAGTAGCGCCCTTCTATTTAACGCGTTGCTGCTATAACTAGCTCCGTGGCGGGGTCGTGGGAATAATAGCAGTAGCGTGTCTTAGAGGTGGCGCGCTACTGCTACTTTTATTTCAGCAGCGTGTTCTGGTGGAGCGCGCTATTGATAAATTGCAGCAGCGCCTTGTTTTAAAACTCGCTGCTGGTAAGATCCTGTGT